TGTTAAGTACTCCATGCTGAAACTTTTGCCGAAACTTTAGCAATGTGCCATTATTTATTTTGATATTCTTCTCACAAGCATTTCCTGGAAGTTTTGAGTGGATCTCTCTACAAAGAAATCAAGGCCCTTCTCCCTGTGCATGACTACTGCTAGTACAAATTTTTAAAAAAGCTATAAACTACAGGATTTTTCTTGACAGCTGAAATCTCCCATTTATAGAGATTAGAGGTCTAGGGAAAAAAGCTAAAGTAAACTGTAGCGTTCTGCTGTCTTAAAACACACAAAACACAAAATTTATGATGCTGTTCTGGAGACAATCCTAAACATACTCCACAAACTCTTTATAAAAGGAGTCATTTTCCCAAAGAAATAACTCTGTGTTCCAAAAGTTTGGTTCAGTACATGATGCCCATGTTCAAAGCTTAAATGAGTTAGAAGCATCACAGTTCTATGCTTACCATGCAATCCCCATTTTTAAAAGAGACTATTATGTGGCTCTTGATGAATTACAAACAACTGGGATGTTTTTAAAGGATGCTTTTTTCATGTGATGCTGTACTTTATGGTATAAATACCATCACCAGACACATTCAGGCTTGTTGTAAGCAAATTCAGAAGGTGGGGGGAGGAAACGAAGTTGCGTGAACATGCTCCAGATCTGATTATGAAAGCAGGAGATGTTCTGTGTCTCGCTGAATGTTCTACCATCACTGAAAATTGATTAATTAGGGATGTTGGATGTTGGTGGCTTTGACAATTCCCCCAAAGACAGCACTCTGTCTTTCTTTTTGTCTGTTTCTGTCTGTCTGTCTGTCTGTCTCTCTCTCTCTCTCTCTCTCTCTCTCTCACACACACACACACACACACACACACACAAAACTACATATTGTGTCCTTTTTCTTTAACTTTTAACAAAAAGGAAGAAATGTTATGGCTTTGTCCTTAAATGTTAACCTACAAGAGGGGTGAAAGTGACATGAAACAGCCCAGAACGATATTCTGACATGGCACAGGCAGGTAGAAAGTTTTGGTTCTTTAATATCTCTTTTCATTTTAGTTGTTACACTCCAATGATGCTGCGGGGGGAGGGGGAATTTGTAGAAACCACTTGAATTCAGCATGGCTGGATAAGAGTCACATCCATTACTTTGCCCACTTTTGCACCTAACCCCACACCTATCACTGGCACGGTGTCCCTGGAAAGTTTCCCACATCAGGATGTTGCCCTCCAGCTCAAAACAATTCCTCACACCTGGATTAAGTGATTGATTTGTGGACTGACATCATCCCCACATAGTTTTCAAGTGACAGGCACACCACTTCAGTACACCTGACACCCGCAAAACTTGCCTGATGTGATATGAGCCTCATGGAGAACAGTGGGAGGACCTCCAAGAGTTGGAGCTGGATGCCCTGGGGGAGAGCCCTAGAAGGCTGGGGGAGCCAAGAGCGGGACCCCAATACTGTGGTACCTCAGTTTAAGAACAGTTTAAGCCCTATTTAAAAACTATTCGGTTTACGAACTCCACAAAACCAGACCTTTACCTCGGTCTAAGAACAGAATCCGAACAGTGGAAGGGCACCAGCAGCAGAAGGCCTCATTAGGGAAAGTGTGCCTCGATTTAAGAATGGTTTCGGTTTAAGAACAGACTTCCAGAACAGAATAAATTTGTAAACCGAGGTACATGTCTGAGCCCAAGGAGGGGAACAGTTTAACTAGAGAGTAAGGCGCTAAATACAGAGGAGGTTTGACAGTGAAGCAGTACCAGATTTATGTATAAGCTAAACAAACTATAGCTTAGGGCCCCACTTTCTTGGGGGGCCCCAAAAAATTTAAAGGGGGGGAAAACTTGGATAAAATACATATTTTGTTATGTGCAAAAGGCTTTAGATACCTATTAGGTCCATAAATTACCATATAGCATATAGGTAAAGGGACCCCTGACCATTAGGTCCAGTTGTGGCCGACTCTGGGGTTGCAGCGCTCATCTTGCTTTACTGGCCGAAGGAGCCAATGTACAGCTTCCGGGTCATGTGGCCAGCATGACTAAGCTACTTCTGGCAAACCAGAGCAGCGCACAGAAGCGCCGTTTACCTTCCCACCGGAGTGGTACCTATTTATCTACTTACACTTTGACATGCTTTCAAACTGCTAGGTTGGCAAGAGCAGGGACTGAGCAACGGGAGCTCACCCCGTCACAGGGATTTGAACCGCCAACCTTCTGATCGGCAAGCCCTAGGCTCCGTGGTTTAGATCACAGTGCCACCCACATCCCATATAGCATATATTCAACACAAAAGGCAGTAACAATTTGTTGTTGGCAAAGGACAGCTGGACATATAAAGGGCCCTATTAGCTTCAGTAGCTTAGGGCCTCATCAAACCTAAATCCAGCCCTGCAGTGAAGGGTTCTGCTCCTGCGATATCAGATGCCTCTAGCCAGGCACCTACTAGAGTGGAGACACTACTGCTTTCCCTGGCATTGAGGAGCCTTCCCCTTTGGGGGAGGCAACAAAGTAAGTTGGATACTGAGTCACTGCCAACCCCACCTCCATCACCCAAGGCATGAAAATGCCAGCACCAGTGCAAACAAATCTCAGAGATTCAACCCACTCCAAAGAGTGCCTGTTTGCTTGCCTAGTCTGGAGACTCTACCCACTTGCCATATTAAGAGCTGCCTCCTGCCCACTCTTCAAAAGGAAGCAGGGCAAGGGAGCATGTTGCTGTTGGATCAATGTCTTAGCTTGCACTTAGCCATGAAATTCACTTGCTGTCCCCACCTTTATGCTTCCAAACGATACTGCCCTGTTATTGTTAATATGATTTTGCAGCCCTGCAGCTAAGATGGGAAGTGACTAGTCCACAAGAATTTTCAAAATGACCTTCATTTGTGGAACAAAAATGGCCGTAGGAGCAGGGAAAGAAACTTTATGGCTAGCTGGAGAGGTAGTAGCCAAAGGTAAGAAGCCCATTGCTGTTGAGATTAAGGACACAAGTTACTCTTATTTCCTCTCTTTTTTCCTATTGCTTGTTATTGTTTTTGACTGGAAGATGACTCAGGCCTGACCAACCTGTATATATGTTCTTGATAAATTAATGTACTCTTTTAATGAATTGCCTTGATCTGACCTGCAACAAAGAGGCACTTCTATATGCCTTTATGAAGATGTGCTGTATTGCTTTGGTGATTCCCTAGCCACTTACCTGTATCTATTTTCAAAACACAAGGAGAAAGTAACATCAGCAGCTGCTTTTAAAAAGGTCCCAAAATTCTGCGAAGCTTTCCGGCAAATGTAGGCTTGGAAAACACTGCCATCTGGTGGTATTATTATTTTTTTCAGAGAAGACAGTAAAGGTCACAATAAGTGAAATGACATTGTACACCCAAGGAATTAACTTTCACCGTTCAGAAGAGTGAACACCTTAACACAGAAGGAAATTGACTCTGGACAGATTTAGAAAGCATGAGAGAGGGCGCATGAAGTGTCCACTTTCACTACTGATAGTCAAATAGTAGATTTGCCATAGCAGATAATATTTGAATGTTGCATTTCAGAATCACATCAATATGATGTGTCATTGTGGCTGTCCAGTTCCAGAGTTTCTGCTATGCATATGTATAGCAGAATATTACAATACAGTAAGTGCTGATTCACTGCAGTATATTAGCAAGAATGTTGAAGCAAAATTTCAGTCATTCATAAGGGCTTTTCTCCGGAAGTTAGGTCCATTGAAAATAACTAAGGTTACTTCCAACTAAAGCCAGTTAGCACTGGAGGGGAAAGATGCTACATATAAACAGTGTTGTGTGGTCAAATTAAACTATGTTTCTGCAAACAGAGCATATCCAGTTCATCAGTTTTGCCAAAATAACTGGGTCATGGAGTTAAATTATATTCATCTGTTTCTTACTGCCTCCAAATGTTTCCCAAATAAAAAAAAGAAAAGAGTGTTTCTCATTATTGCGACTGAGCAGAGACTCAGAATATATTGTTAAATCATTATTTCTATGAAATAGTAACCAGAAATTTCAGCAAGTGAATTGCCATTTCGGTGTTGACAGTAATTTTAAATTGGCAGGGTGGTACCTCCCTGATTACATCTGGTACCTTGTGAGTTGATCATCAGGTTCCATAACAACTGTTACAGAGACAATGGCCCATTCAAATTAATGGGTATAGGCACTCAAGAATTTAACACTCCAATCCTATTGAATTTTAGGCAACAAATGTTTACTTAAGAAACAAGAGTTTCTCTGTGTTTGATATTTGGCTGGAATTTAGTTCCATCTGGGATTTACTCCCGTCAAAACTAATTTCTTAATGTCTTTAGATGAGGTTAGGAGGGTTCAAAAAGTTCCAAGGAAAGGCATGATGCCAATAAATTTGGCCTTTGAAAGAAAGAGGAAAATGCTAGATTATTGGTGAGTTCCTTTAGAACAGTTTGGAGATGTGATTGGTGAAGGGACTGCTCATGTAAAACTAAGTCCTGCCCTTTTGCAGGCATTGAAGAGTATCAATAATATTTGTTATTGTTTTGGCCCATTTTCATATACAGTGGTACCTCGGGTTAAGTACTTAATTCGTTCTTGAGGTCCGTTCTTAACCTGAAACTGTTCTTAACCTGAAGCACCACTTTAGCTAATGGGGCCTCCTGCTGCCGCCGCACCGCCGGAGCACGATTTCTGTTCTCATCCTGAAGCAAAGTTCTTAACCCGAGGTAATATTTCTGGGTTAGCAGAGTCTGTAACCTGAAGCGTATGTAACCCGGGGTACCACTGTATGACTATTAGAAATGCTTTCCAGTTATTGGTACAATATGAAGCAATAGGCATTGTTGTGCCTTGAACCACTGTCCACAACACAAAACTTCATTTGAGACTTCATTTGAATCTTTGGTCATTTGGTAAGGAAGATGGTGGAGATGGATTCTTCATAGAATTGTAGAGTTGGAAAGGGCCATGAGGGGTATCTGGTCCAGTTCCTTACAATGCAGGAATCCTCTGCCCAATGAGGGGCTCAAACCCACAACCCTCAAATTAAGAGTCTTGTGCTCTACTGACTGAGCTATCATCTAGATAAGTATGTAACGTAGCATGTTGTGCCTATGTGCCCCTCCACACTGAGATTACATTGGAAAGAAGCCTCCCATTGTAACCAATAGAAGGCTTTTCTCAAGCCTAATTGCAGGACAGTGGTGGGTTGGGGGACTCACAGATGAGAATGATTAACTCTCCCCTCTGCAGCTGTGACTGCCACTCCCACTGCCAAAAATAATCCTCCGGTCGCTGCATTAGGCTTCCAAAAAGCCTTTTACTGTAGCCAAAAGAAGGCTACCTCATGCCTAATTGGAATGGGGAAGAGGCTATTTTGGAGGTACTAATGGCTGCAGTGCTTGTGCAGTACCCATGACAGTTTCTCCAGATTGTAAATGGGCTCCAAAAAGGTTGGCAACTCTTGCATTATATGCTGACTTGGCTGAAAACCAGTATGGTCTTATGTGTCAGCTCGTGTATCCATGGCCAACACTGGCAGTTTCTTACAGCTGTTGCATGATAATGATGATGACGATGATGATGATGATGATGATGTCAGGTCCCAGAGAAGGTTACAACAATTTAAAATACTGTATTAAATGTTTAAAAGTTTGCAAAGAATACAATCACCAAAAAATAGGGCAGGTCCTAAAACTACACAAGTAAACCTCAAGCACTCACAGAACAGGATGCCCAGTTGGAAAGGCTGGGGTGCTCTCTCCTAAGTAAACCTGATCAGAAGCCCTGGTATATAGAGGGCCAAGAAATACAGGACCTTGAACAGCTCTAAGTGAGCCCTGCTGGCTGAAACGCTATCCTACTAAGGTAGATGTAGAAAGGTGTCACAGCAGTGAGATGAAGCCAATTGGAGCCTTATGCGGACTGACAAAACCTGTGGCATGGTTGCCTCTGCCCTTCTAGAGGAACCACATGGGTTGTTAAAGGATGTATAGTACTAGAATTTGTGCTTCAGTATTGTACGTGTGTGTGTGTGTGCCATATTGCTTTAGAATTGTGTATTAATAAAGCATTAAAAATATGTCCTGAGTCTTTCTTGGGTCAAAAATTAGAGGGCTTCGTGCTCTTGGGCTGCCTACAAAGAAGAAGACACTGTGCTGGGTAACACACACTGCAAGGTCCCAGGATCATGAGCCATGACACTGCTCATCAATGGAAAGAGAACGCTATACCCAGCCTATCTCAAGCCTTTGCTTTCTGCTGCTTCAGTTTCTGTGTGCCTGCAGTACAAGAAGACAAACAGTGGTCTGCCATCAAGGACTCTTTCAAAACCCCCAAAGGATGTCACTTGACAGTGACAATCCAACCAAACTGCAGCCCGCCCACCTAAAATGGAATAGGATATATGCCCAGCTAGCCCAAAATGAAATAAACAGCTGTCAGGAGTGGGATTTTTAAAATACAGTAGCTAAATCCTATCTCCTTTTCTGATTCTAATCATTAGTGTATTCAATTGGAAAATGTTAGGATGGGATCCAAAGTTTTTTCTGTAAACTTAGTCAGACATTGCCATGCCTGCACTGCGACTTCTCAGATTTCCCTTTCCAATTGCAGCTCCCTCGGCAGCTCTTTGTCAGTCATGTGCTAATGTCCTGCTTGCAGGTTTACCAAAGGCATCTGGCTGGCCATTGTGAGACTAGCATGCTGGACTACATGGGCCATTGGCATGATCAGCAGGTTTGTCTAGGATGAGGAGCTCCAAAAAGCAGAGCATATGTAGGAAAGTCAGGTTTGATGAGTTGAAGAAACAGTTGACTAAAGTGCAAGGGTTGGGTGTGTGAAACCTAAGTTAGGGTTACCAGACGTCCCCGGTTCCCGGAAACAGTCCCCAGATTTGCAAATCTGTCCCCGGACAAATTCCATCCCTGGAATGTCCCCAGATTTGCAAATCTGTCCCCAGAAAATGTGGCAGCCTCAGCAGCCCGGAGCCAGCCTGGTAGCGCAGTTGGCTCTGGCTGGCTTCAGGAGCTGCTTGCTGCTTGCTGCCATGGCGCCCGCCATTTTTCCTCACCGGAAGTCCCCATATGATGTGTTGCACTCAAGACACATCATATGGGGACTTCCAGGAGGCAAATTGGTGGGCACCATGGCAGCGAGCAGCAAGCAGTTCCTGAAGCCAGCCAGAGCCAACTGCGCTGGCTCCGGGCTGCTGACTGCCACTGCTGCTGCCACTGCTGAAGAGGAACCGGGGACATCCAGCAGTACAGATCTCCTGCCGCCTTCCCCCTTTGTTTTACTGATCAGGGGAGGCTCGGGAGTTGCAGGCAGGTGGCCATTGCCCAGTTTTTTAAAAAACTCTGCGCATTTATGTTTCACAGTGTGTGAAAGAAGGGCTTTGCACCTTTATACAATATGCATGTGTGCTTGGGCCCAGGGTCTTTTGCCTCACCACCCCCACTACTGACTCACTGTTGCTACTCAGCTTCAAAAAAAAAAAGTGTCCCCGGATTCGTTGAAAAAAATCTGGTAACCATAACCTAAGTTCACCTATGAAATCTGTAGGTGGCTTTGGGAAAGTTGCAATCTCTCCACCTAAGCTGTCTCATAAGGTTGTTATGAGGCTACTGTTATATTTGGGGATAATTCCCATATCGAAATTGGGGATATTTACTTCTGGAGGTTATAAAAGCCCTTGGAAGGAGGGTGGATGCCTAATAAAACAAATATATGGTGTCATGCCTTAACAATGCCCTTTGTTAGAGCAAAGATTAGTGCAACTGAACATGCAGTACTGAACAAAAAGGTTTGGTGTAAAAATGCTGAGAAAACTTTCTCTTGGTTTTTACACATACAGACTGACCACCCAATTTTGGGATCTGAAAATGAACTCTTTTCTAAATCAAATTTGCTCCAGGAGGCAGGGAGGTATTTGCATTTCCCTGTATCATATGACACAGCATGCTTTCCTTGAGTCATCTGGGTTTGTTTTACTCAAAACAAATCATTTGTCCTACAGCCACCTCTGACACAGTGCATCTTGGTTCAACCTGCTTTATTTATGTAGCCTAAGGGTTATGTACCTCCCTCTTCCATGGGATCATCACCACCACTTGCTGACTGCAATATGAGATAAAGACCTGCACATGTGTGCAGTAGCCACCAGAGACTGAACACTGCATAAAGAGCTTTTACTGTATATCCCCAAACATCAACTCAAGCCACAAGACTCTCTAGAGACCAGAGAGAGCTGCTGGGCGGTGAAGCTGGAGGCTCACACAGCTGACAGCAGGCTAAGTTCGAAGTGTAATGATGGAAGCAAGAAGCTGAGCTGAAGTCACATCCCTGCAAACCAAGATTGCAACACCACCATAATTATTCACTTGGTACTACTGGACAATGTGGATTTAAAATCCTTAAAGAATGGAAAAGAAGCTGGAAAAGGGAGTAGATAGCAAGGATGGGGCAAACCAAGGGACACTAAGAAACTCCAGAGCAATGATCCAGCTGGTGGTTTCACAATCCAACAAACAGTACCAGGAACCTATGCTTAGGATCCAAACTACCAGTGGATATTTCCTGACCAGCAGGGCAAGTGTGAGCACTTTCCCCCTCCAGGGGAAAAGGTTTGGTAATACAAGTGGCTTCTTCTGATGTCCTCTGGAAATAAGGGCTCCTCCCTTCCTTATATTTGGAAGACCTGCGCCACAAAACAGAAGATCCTGTCCCAGGGTTGGATTCAACTGAGTCCTACTCAGAGAAGACCCATTGAAATTAATCAGCCGAAGTTAGCTATTTCCATTAACTTCAATGGGTCTACTCTGAGTAGGATTAGCATGGGATATCAAACCCCCATGCCAGATAGCCTTCACACCCTTTCCAGATCTAAAATATAATTACCCCACACTACTAAGACTTCATAACCAAACTGCTGGTTGGTAAACCAATTTTAATCAGAAAGCAAAATACAGTTCATTGGACACAAATCTGTTTAAAAATTCATGCATGTGTGTTTTCTGAAGATATTATATTTGTGGAGAGGACATTTTCTGAGGCACATTATGGGCTACATTCATACACAGGCACAAAAAATATGCTTACATTAAAAGAAAAGCAACACCCCTATTAATTTACACTCACAATATCCAATGCATGATGCACAGTGCTTCAGAATAGACTGATGATGCATGACACTCCTGTGCGAAGAATAATCAAGGCACAAATTCCATCAAGGTGTCTCTTCCTAATGGGCACTCCACAGAGGTCCAGTGCCTAACTGTTATTTGTGCCTTGGAAACCCGTCTGCTATGTTCCTAACAACAATCTACTTTCCATGTGCTTCCCTAATGTGATTTAAATGTATGCTGCTCTGACAAAGTTTATTCAACTAACTGGTGTTTTAGGAAAATGTGCTTTAATCCAGCCATGGTGCAACATATAATTGATGTAAAGCTCCTCATTTTTAGAAGGCCCAAATTTACATAATATATAAGTGGTGGATTAGCAGAGGGCTGATCACACTGAATGATGACAAATGTTGAATTGCCAAAAGACCACATAAAGTAAAATATTAAGGAATGGCTTTTAAGAGAGAGGGAGATGGGAGAGGGGGGTTGTGTATTCTTTCCAACTGCATATTGCCATATAAGCCACAATTTGAAAAGGAAGTTATATTGGCTAGAATCTTGAGTACTGGAAGCAGAGAGAAGCCTGGAGATTATACCATTATTTTACCCCCCTGCAGCTCCAAATGCCCTCCTGAACAGCATGAGTTGAGAGGATGAGAAGTTGACCCAAATCATTTCATGAACAGAGCACCATTTGTGCAATGTGTATGGTCCTTTCCCCTCCCACAACTTTGGGTAATCCAACCTTCTTCCAGCACTATGCCCCATCCTGTGCTGCTGAGAAGTGTCCCTCAACCATCCAGAGAGATTTTTTTAGCAGTAGAAAGGGAAGTCCCATTCCATAGTTTGCTGCTCCCAATACTCCAGATCCAAGCTATTCTTTCATTTTTCTTCAAGATTTCATTTCTATAAGTACCTGTGTGGCAGCAGAAATCTAATATGGGGTAGCCAATATGGTTCTGCTGATGTGGCTGGACTACAACTCTCATCATCCCTTACTAATGGCCATGAGAGTTGGCTGATGAGGGTTATAGTCCAACCACACCCAGAGGGTACCATGTTGGCAACCCCTGTACTAATGTATAACAATGTTGTGGCCCATTACATCCTTGGTGTAACTGGTGGTCCTTTCACAGTTTGGCAAGAAACATCTACAGATAACTTTGCCTTGCTCTAATTGATGACAGCACATTGGGAAACCTCCTCCGGAGACACACCAAAGCAAAATACCCGATTCCGGCTAAGAAGCCAACCAAAAGAGTGGTGCCAAAAATCCTTGGTGCCCTCTTCTTGGCCACTCGAAATGCAGTTGGAAGAACTGCAGAGATTAATATGTTGTTGACATGTCCTAAAACCTTGTGGAATGCTTTTCTCTTCAAGACACGGTCATAATAGGCTTCCAAGTTAGGCCGCTTTCCATTCCCCCAGTTTCTCCTTGCCAGTCCAATGAATTTCAGTCGATGCAATGTAACAGCAAGGGATACATCGGCCAAGCTGAAAAACTGACCGCAGAGCCAAGGCTGGTGTCCATTTTCTAATCAGAATGAAGGTTAAAAAAAAAAGTTAGGGGCTAATAAAAAGTAATAGGATGAGAAGGACCTTGGGTTTTATGTTTCTGTCACTGTTTTCTCTATTATGCTCAAATAGCCATCAGTCCCAGATTGTTCCTGGAAAAGGCATTAAATTGTTTGTTTACTTGCATTTCTAAATCTTCAATCTTAAAGCAACAAAAGTGCTTAAACAAGAAAACACTGGGAACCTTTGACTTAACCAATTGCAGTGCTTGGAATGAACTAGTTTCTTTTTAAAATGAACTTTCCATGTGCTGATCAAATGTCTGATGCACAGTGCCAATATACTGAACAACATGCAATGCTTTAACTGAGACAGCTACGCACTGACCAAGAACTAAATATGAAAATTTCCTACCTGGAGTCTCTTCATTCCTTCTTTGCAGCTCAGTCTCAACTTGATCCAAAACTTTTTCCAGCTCATCCAATATTTTCTGTAAATACTTTATGTTATCATGATCCATCAGTTTAGACTAAGGAAAATAAGTAGATTGTATATTTAATCTGCAGTCCCATTTCCTGGGAGTAAGCCCCATTGAACATATTGAGATTTACTTCTGAGGAAGCATGCATAGTATAGTGTCATAAGCCAGGCATCTATGCATCCAGTAGTGATCAGTGGAGTGTCGTAGCTAGAATGGCACTGCTCACCTGACTTTCAAACACAGAGTGATGCTGCTGGTTCCTGAGAGGTGGAGGGGCAAGATATGGGGAGTGCAGTGTGGGTGCAGCAACAAGAGTGTTCGTTTGGCATGATCACCAGGCAAAACTCTGCTGAACTCTCCAGGCCTTGCCCATCTCAGGAACCAGCAGCAATGCTCAGTATTTGGAAAGAAAGTGAGCAAAACTGGAACCCACTACTGGTTGCATAACAACACCAAAACAAGTATAGAACAAACAAGCAACAGTAATAGCAAGTAGTGTGGCCACAAAAGCAGAGTTATTACCAAAAAAAAAAATCCCCTTAACCTTGACTTCTTCTGAAGATACATACATGCAATGACAAGAAATATATCACATTAATATCACATCCAAAGGAACAGTAGCATTCTAAGTTGGGTTTTTGACTGTCAGATATTGTCCATTCTTACTTTAAGACGTTTCTGCTTCGCTATATAGGCATCTTGAAGATCTGGGTTTTCTTCTGCAAGTTTCTTTAATTCAGACTCAGTATTGCCTATTTGGCCTGAAGAAACAACAATGAGCTCATTAAAAGCTAATAAACCACGTCCATCAAAATACTTCAGTACAGTTATATATATTAGAACATATCAGTTAGAAACTCTTTGATTTAAGAACTTGCCAAATGAGTGTTGCCTGCCTGCTCCAATATCTGACATACTTGAGTATAAGCACCTCTCTGTCACTGATGCAGATTTAACCCCTAAATACACTATAATTAATTTGATGGAAAACAGTATTTTTTTTAAAAAAAAATGGTTTTGTTATTGTCAACAGAAATAGTTTAATGATAAACACACAAAGATAGAGTTAAAGCATTCTATCTAACACTGCACAAGCAGAGTTCTCATCAGACAATGGTACATACTACGAATTCTAGTTGTGGCGTAAGCTGGGATCATAGAATCTACTGCTAATTCAGGATGTAGAATGCAGCCATGTGTATAGGCATCCATTGGCAAGGAATCCAGGAGCTCTCTGTAGTGCTGAACCCTGGGATAGTACATGCTCCCTTCTTCTGGAATCAGCCTTGGAATGTTTTCTGGGGTGAAAAATTAGATAGATGATAGATAGATAGATAGATAGATAGATAGATCTACAAAGACTATGGTGAGAACAAAATTGAAGGATCAAAGTTTAAAGTCTTAGTCACTGCAATACTGTGATTGGAGAAGGCTCAGTTGCAAACCTTCATGCTTTCAGGCAACAGTAAAGGTAAAGGGACCCCTCACCATTAGGTCCAGTCGTAACCGACTCTGGGGTTGCGGCGCTCATCTCGCTTTATTGGCTGAGGGAGCCGGCGTACAGCTTCCAGGTCATGTGGCCAGCATGACTAAGTCGCTTCTGGCTTACCAGAGCAGCACACGGAAACGCAGTTTATCTTTCCGCCGGAGCGGTACCTATTTATCTACTTGCACTTTGACGTGCTTTCGAACTGCTAGGTTGGCAGGAGCAGGGACCAAGCAACAGGAGCTCACCCCGTCACAGGGATTCGAACCGCCGACCTTCTGATCGGCAAGTCCTAGGCTCTGTGGTTTAACCCACAGCGCCACCCGTGTCCGGGAGAGCACTATTGCCTCATTCAGTGGTACTGCACAAGCTTTCTTTGCAGGAGATCCCAGGTTCAATCCCTGTTGCTTCTAGTTAAAAGGATCATGGAAACAGCTGATAGGGAAATCTCCTGCCAAAGTCCCTAGAGAGCTACTACTAGTCACAGTAGACAATAATGGGCAAATGGACTATGAGAGAGATGGGAGTAATAAAATCATAACCCATGTCAAAGAGTGGCTATAATTTTTATCCCAAACCCATCCCACAAAGTTTCCTAACCCCATTTTTCAGTGTGCCACAAGGACTAAACTGCACATTATGTGACCCTCCTGGAAGCATTTGGGCATCTGTAGACAATCGGTAACATTTAGGCAATCGTTTGGGCACCTGTAAACAAATCCTGATGCAGCAAGGTGTAACTCACACCCAACATTTACATTATGAAAAATCACCACAGTACTCTTCTTACCATTCACAAAAGTTTCTTCAAGATAGTCGACAATCTGAGTTGCATCACAAATTATGTTTTCTCTGTGGACAAGTACAGGGACTTCTCCAGATGCATTTAAACGCATAAACCAAGGCTCGTTGTGTTCACTCAGTGGAAGGCTTACATCATGCTCTTCACATTTCAGTCCCTTTTCAGCAATCACCAAACGCACCTGAAAAATATATATGAACATTCCTGTTGAAGATTTACAGCTGTCCTATTAAAAATACACATTTCCTATTAATAGTTTGGAAATACACATGAAGAATCTGAAACTAACAGAATTATTAAAACATTATACATATAACATTAATTAATTTGTTGTTGTTGCTGCTGCTGCTGCTGCTGCTGCTGCTGCTGCTGCTGTTTTGAAAATGAGTAGCATACTATTTAATTTGGTTCAACATTGCAGGTGGATTCTGGTAGGGACATGCTCACAACATGATACCCATTAATTTCCTAAGTGCACTCTGTGGTCTCTGTAAAGAAAACCATGTATGAAGGAGCAAGCAAATATTGTTTCTCCCTTTTGCTGTTCAATTTATTTATTCTTGGAAACAGCTAACTGTTTTAAAATGAATAAAATTCTATGACAGGTAGTCAGTGTGGTCCATTCTAGATGTTGTTGGGACTACAGGTCCCATCATCCCTGACCCTTGGCCATGCTGGCTTGGGCTGGTGGGAATTGAAGTCTAATAACATCTGAAGGGCACCACATTGGCCATCCCTAGACTATGACAATTGTAAGGGCTCTGAGGCCTGTTTATGAAGCACACTGGGCTCCCCTTTCCCTACTCTCCCCTCTGCCTGCTTTCTTCTCCAAATGCATTCTTACAGCTGCATTTAGATAAACAGAGTGTCCACACCCAGCAACCACCTTTTAGGTGGGCAAAACATACAGAGGGAGCTGTCCGGGTTCTGAAATCTGACATTCTTAGAAACAGCCACACAAGCTACTCACCTTTTGGGAACTGAAGGACTGAGTCCAATGATAGAGGATCAGTTTGTCATCTGTCTTCAAATATACTTCAGCTGGAGGCATTTCCCCTGCAGCCTGGTCCTCTTTCTCTTCTGCCATTTCACCTTTTCTCTCGGCTCAGCTCACCACTCCGAGATTCTACCTATGAGATTTTGTTCTCTCGTCGTTACTGAGTCTGCTCCATGGACTGAGCATGCTCACTGCTGACAGATGAAGCTGCTGTTCTGACGATGCCCTTAGACTCCCTTGGAACCTGAAATGGGAGAAGTGTTGAAATTGCCATCAGTTTGAACCTAGGGAGATTTAAAAGAGGCACAGAGGGAGAACAACAACAACAACAGAGGGAACCTATATAAATGCAGAACACAAAGAATTGGAAGAGGGTTCTCTTGTATCCTATTTTCTAATTTGCAAAAAATAAAAAATAAAAATGAAGGCAAGACATTGTGATTCCAGTCAAGAATTTAAATTTGAGGCAGCAAAAACCTGATTGCCAGACAACCCTCCAATAATTATTTGATTTGATTTTCACATGTTGAGAAAGGAGGTAAGTTCCACAAAGAGAAGATTTTTAAAGAGAGCACAGGAGGCTACACTAATCCCTTGCAAGCTCAGCCTTCCATTCCTCACTTCTACAATTTGATTAAACTCTTTCCTTTAATTTTAATGGTTCCTCATTACAGTCCATGTTGATTAATTTACCTTGCTTTTGTCAAAGATGGTTGCATATAATTTTTTTTCATATTTCAGTATTAGCATGCATTTAATGATGTCAAATAAAATGTGCACTGCTGACAGCAGGGTGGAAATTACAAACAAAAATAAATATGTTTTAAAACCTAGGGAGCAGAATTGTTTGTGTGCATGAGATGTGATGTTTTATTTTCTGTCGGCTACCATAGCCAGCCTATAAAGAAAGGTGGGGAGCCCTTCAAGAAAATTAAAAGAAAAGAAAAGGCAATGTTAAGTAATGTTAAATAGACTATAAGCAAATACAATATGGGATGTATTGTGATACACTGTCTACATCTGGCTACTACCGATGTTCTGAACAAGAGCAACATTCAGAAAGTGAAAAATGGTGATGCAAAATCTATAAATACAAGACCAAAATTTGATGATGGAACTCCAGATTAGCCAACTTCCTTAATAAGAGTGTCAAACTGCAATCCTGTACTGAATTAATTTGGGAGTAAGTCCTATTGAAGTCAATGAAGCTTTCTTCTGAGTAGATATGAATAGGATTGCATTGTAAGAAACAGAATTTATATTTATATTTATATGCAAGGTTATCCCTAATCAGACACATTAAATCTAGATGAATAAATTATAGAAACATAGCCAGAAAAAGGAAGAGTTCTACAACAATTTTAAACAGGGATTGGGAACCCTTGGCCCTCTGGATGTTGCTGTACTACAAGTCCCATCATTCTTGACCACTGGCCATGCTAGCTGGAGCTGATGTCCAACAACCCCTGGAGAGACATAGGTTCTCCATCCCTGCCTTAAAGACAAATACATATATTGTGGCACTAACTTACTTCGAGAAGAAACAGCTTCTGATGAAGTACACTCTTGTCTATTATCAAGATTCCTCGAGATTTCTTGCTGTTTCTAGAAATCACACAGCCTGTGGGAGTGATGAACATGCATCCAGTAAACAACATGTCCCTGAATGACCACAAGAGGTCTCCACATTTCGAGAAATGGTTGGGGAAATGGAAGGGATTTGGGGGGTTTTTATCTGTGTGAAGTTCAAAATGAATGAGTTTTCATTTTTGTTAACCAATTATATGCTCTTTGAATCCATATATTTTTGTATCTACCTCTAACTCAGGGTGGCTTACAACAATGTAAAATCATAATACAATAATACATATATTAAAATGCATGGGAAACACACAACGAGGAAAGTTTTACTTGAAACCCCCAATGTGCATATAAACTACATTATGTGACATAATTATGAATCATGTGTATATGTGTAAAGCAACAACAACAACAACAAAACCCTGCAACTCCAAACACATCTCTATTCTACATGACACTGACCAATGTGGAATCTGCAATCTGCTTGGCTCTTTTCCCATGTTTCCCATGGGAATTTTCCTGGGGAAGAATCCCCAGCCATTTTGGAAGGTGCTTCCTGTATTCCCAGTTGTCCATAATTCTGTACAAAAACAAATGTCTAGCGTAATGAACAGACCGAAGTTCTGGAGCAAATTGGAGACACCCTCAATCATGATTTCTCTTTAAGGACATAAGGGCACTGCTTTCTCCCTCAGTGCCTCATTCGTTGGCAACAAAGGTGGCAACCATTTCAATTTAATACCAGAAGTGCCGTACAAATTGGACTGTCATATTGTGTGGTATCATATTGCACTAGGAGCTTACTAAGTCACAATTCAGAAAAGAAAAAAAAAATACTACTTTTACTACTACTGACTGCTCCACTCAAATCATAAATGTGAAAATGTGATCTGGAAGCAGGGGAATACAAGGATGGACATGGAGAAACAACAGCAGGGCTTACAAATACACTACAAAAGCCATTTAGCTGCTATTATGAAACTTTTGAATCCCTCGTGATGCATAACATGACTTAAGTAGCATAATATCGTACTCCAGTTTCCTAGTTGTCCGTATTCAAAGTTAAGACTCTACCCTTCAAGTCCTAAATATACTTAGTAGTGAGATCCACTGGGTCCCATAGGACTTTCTCGTGTGTAGTTGCCTTTAAGAGAGGGGCCAGACAATTGCTTGGGATTTTTCCAAGCTCTCTTACACACTTGCTTTGTAATCTCGGCAAGTCACATAAGGTCCTGTTATATCTGCAATGTGAGAGTGGTATGTAAAACTGGACATCTTACCTACAGATCTGCTGCCTGTGTGAATTGAGCCTCAGATCTGATTACTAAGTACAAAATACAGGCTACATTTTGTTTTAATAAAGAGATTTTATTTCAAAGACTACAATTGAAAAAAGATTTATAATGAAATTACATTAATGCTAAATGCATTCTGCTGTTCTTATCTTACTTTATCCTAGCCTTCTTTTTTTAAAAAAAAAATTAAACATCCCTAACAACTACTGTACTCACTATGGCAAAGCTTCAAATTTAGATTGCATTTCATCTTAGAAATGCAGAAGAGCAAAAACAGAGTCATCCTATACATGTTTCCTCATGAGTCTCAACAAGTTCAGTGTAACATATTTCCTGGAAAGTGTGGTAAGGATTGCAGGCTGCCTAACCAGACAAATGAATGCATGTTCTCTTAAACTAAAACATCGTGATTATAATTAGATGAAAAACCGTATGAGAGAAGTTACTATTGTAATTCAATTTGTATAGCAACTCAGCAGAAAACATTTATGATCTCTAGGAGTCACCCTGCTCTGAAACGACTCATTTAGGGTGACAGTCTAAATTAATTCATGAATCTACTCTGTTTACATGCTCTCCCACTGAAACCCCATTGAACTGTGTAAGTGATTTTCCTGTTGCTTGTGTTATTATTATGCTTATATTAAAATCATACTGTCCACAGAAGAATCAGAGCTACCTAAAAGGACAAAACACTCCACTATCCCACAATTTTTTTAATTTAAAATGTAATCACCACAAATCAGCATTTTCATTTGCAAATGAAAGTTAGCTAATTCAGATTAATGCAGCATTTACTGAAGACTCCTTGGATTAAAAATATCCAGTTAGAAAGAAACAGTGAAAATACAAACCCTGGACTTGTAAGTGAGAATGACGTTGACTGTGTGCCCTGTGTGAGAATGGGAGGGAGAAATTAATAGAACAGACAACAGCATGTGTCTGAAATAACAACATGCATTCAGCAATGCCACAGTAGACTATTATATCAGCATAGAAAGAAGCAAAGCAGAAAATCCTCAAGAGAACATCTAGCTATTTTTTTTTTCAAATCACATAGAGAAAAGTAAACCCAAAAGGGAAAACATTTTATCATATGTATTGTATTGTATTGTATTGTATTGTATTGTATTGTATTGTATTGTATAACAGTGAATATTTTATACATTCTTTTATACACCAGGGAAAAGAAAGTTAGCAGGAGGAGAGAGGGAGAGCAATCCCAGGTTCATCCACTATCAGAAGAGGCATCTGCCCCACCTTTCCCTCTGAGAAAGAATGAACTGTGTCCATAGGAGCTAACACAATAAAATATTTGAGGGGGCTGGGCCCCCACCAAGTTAATGGGCATTCCAGACCCTCCAAGTGTCCCTATTCTCCAGGGACATCCCTGATTTAGAGAAGCTGTCGCTGTTTCTGATTTGATTCCAGAATGTCCCACTCTTCCTTAGGATGTCCTTATTTTCATTGGATAAAATTTGAAGAGTATGGAGTTACCTGACCCCCCGAGCTGTCTGAAGGCAATCCTATATAGGGAAGTTTTTTTAAAGGTTTTATTATGTTTTTATATATGTTGGAAGTTGCCCAGAATGGCTTGGGCAACCCAGTAGGAAGATGTGTGGGGTTGTTGTTGTTTAGTCGTGTCCGACTCTTCGTGACCCCATGGACCAGAGCACACCAGGCACTCCTGTCTTCCACTGCCTCCCGCAGTTTGGTCAAACTCATGCTGGTAGCTTCGAGAACACTGTCTAACCATCTCGTCCTCTGTCATCCCCTTCTCCTTGTGCCCTCCATCTTTCCCAACATCAGGGTCTTTTCCAGGGAGTCTTCTCTTCTTATGAGGTGGCCAAAGTAGATGTGCGGGGTACAAATAGTAAAATTATCGTTATGGAATGGGACTTCCCTATTTTCAACAAAGAAATGTTGGAGGGTATGTCATTCCCATTCAAATGGTTTGTGTGCACTAGGTCATGTGATCAATTATGTGGGGCCCCACAATATTTTATTCAAGTTGGCACCCCTGGCTGTGTCCAACAATGATGCCTACTTAGGCCAAAGCCCTGCTTAAGAGAGCTTCATCTGTCAGGTAGGGGATGATGGAATTATGCATCCAATGCCTTTATTTGATTGTGTGTTGACAGAAGAGGAGCCCTGCTGGGTCTATCTTGTCCAGCATCCTGATTTCCAGCACAGGCCAGCCAGGATACTCCCAGG